TATATATATATATATATATATATATATTTCATTACATTGCATTACATTACATTACATTACATTATATCACATTACATTACATTACACAAGTCGTCAAAATGCCGACCATTCCATTGTGTGAATCAAGTAAACCCTGCATCAGTAAAATTTAGTTCTGGTCTTAAACGTGACGGCTGGCACATGTTAACTGGGACCTACATGCATTTCAGTTGATGGTAAAGTAATTAAAATAATGTCATGTGTAACCTTAGTTTCCTGAAATAATGTAAAATGCATTTTTGTTACATATCTACTTTTGATATATATGCTCTTAATGCACAAACAAACAAACAAACAAACAAACAAACAAACAAACAAGCATTATTTAAGCACATCTTTTGCCACTAAGCTATGAGTCCTACGTGTTCCTGCTGATCTATTTTGCCCAGAAGCCGTCCGTCTACACCCGTCCACGGTGGAAAACGTGACCGTGCCGCACGGAAGTGACGTCACCGTGACCTTCAGCATCCCCAACATCACGGACATGGCCTACATCCGGGTCTTCACGCCCAATCCAAGATGGCGGAACCACTCCCTGTACCTGCTGTCGGACGGACACCCCCACAACTTCACCACGGCCTGTCATTGGCTACAGGTGTAATCATTTTTGGGGTTTGGTGGTAGTTTGGTATCTTAGGCCGTGTTTAAACGGAATCACCCAAACCGCGATTCGGGTAACTCACATTCCTCACATCTGGTGAAACCGTGTCCCATCGCTTGAGCTACATTTATTGCTGTTTGATGATAACACGCAAGGTGGCGTGTTATTAATGTCAGAGGTCAACGACCTGCTTGCTGATGCCCCCCTCCCAGCGTATCTCGGCCGAATGCCGACGTGGTCCCGCCAGAGGCGGTGAAGCTCGCCCTACAACGGACACATTATTTGACCATTACTGCTCTTTAAGTTGCTGCCACGTAAAAGTTGGTATTGCATATAGATAAAGAAATATCATCCCGTAATCCATGACCAGGCGAAGATACATTGAAATCACATTGCGTTCAGACGCAAATCGCGATGCGGGGAAACCGATTCGAAACCACCTCTAGAAGTGGCTTGGGATCGAGGCGCTTTCAATGTGATTTCGGAGCGTTCACATGGAGCCACTTGAAACCGGCTTCGGGGTAAACCACATGTAAACCGCCTTGGGTGATTCCGTTTAAACACGGTCTTAGCGTCTATAGGTATCTTACTATAAACGAGACCCAAACAGTTCGATTACTTCTGCTGAGCCGTATTTATTAATCCGTATGTTAACTCTACTAATAGTTCACAGGAAGTTTAGCACTTAGTTACACAGAGAGTTACCAATGGTCTAGTATAATACAGATGAGGTACTAATAGTTACACAATCTACAGAGCTACAACTATACATGTACACATACCTTGAGTCCAGGTCTCGAGCTGACTAACAGGGAATTGTCTCTTCCAAGCTCAACTGTGCTAACAATAGTCTTTCACCTGATTGGTTACTCTCACTAACCAATCAGCGCCTACCTAACGCGCTAATGCATAACATGTATTATCAAATGGTCGCTTCCAGATTACCATAATTACACAAGTCATAACAGTACGATACATTCCATGAATTATTGTCAGGTCCAACTACCATATCTGCTTTCGTTGGCCAATTTCTGTACACGATCTATTCCATAAGCGAGACCATATCATCAATACATGACCATATTGTAACTCATATACTGTTCAGATAGTAGTTCGTAGTAAGAAATGTAATAAGATAGTTAGGTTTGTAGTAAGTGTTGTATTACTGCCACATATTGTACCATGTACGATTGTCGAGCAATAAAGTTCATACATAACAAGTCATAACCGTTGTACGTACTATCACAGGAGACCCTCCACTGTAACCTGACCGTGATTGACGTGCAGACGGAGGATGAGGGGGAGTACAGGATTGAGAATGACATCTGTCACGAGCATCCACTGACCAATCACGCATGCACGCCATCAGAAGTGCGGAAGTTCAGAATAAGTGCATTTATCTGTAAGTAATTTAATTAAAGATATGTGGATTTGCGATTATGTAATAAAACCAACCTCTGTTTATCGTCGGTGTTTTGCTTTAAATGCATTTGTCCTGACATCTCTCTCCAAGTTTGAATATTAAAAGCGGCTGTATAGATATACAGCTGACATTGTAATTTTCAACAAGCTTGCTTTAGAATATAAAAACACGGGTGAATGTTGATAAGTTCAGAGTTAAGTAATTTTGAACTTGATCAAGCTTAGTTTTTTCACCATGTACATGGTTTCTTTTGCAAGAATAATAGTGCTTTTTTCTTTTCTTTTTTCGTTAGCATCACCTGTTCTTCAGACTACACAAAGTGCGCAAAGTGAGTATACAGCTCCCAACCGATATATCTTATACATGTAGTTATAAGTATGTTTTTACATCTTATTTAATGTTAATATTGTACCATTCCTTAATGCCTTTGTTGTTCTGAAAAACTGGCTAATGATAAAGATTCAACATCACCCTTTTTTCAGTTGAGGACCACACCGGGACTTATATTGGGGACGATGACACACAAGACCTTGGTTAGTGACTCTGCATATTGTTACAAACCACCTCCTTTTAAATTTGTGGGTTTGTCAAATCTACTTTACGATTTGAACAATAACTTATTCGGGACAGTATTTGTAGAATTATTTTGTAAACAAGTTTTGTACACTACATTTTCCAACACAAGAAACTGGACTTACCCACATTTTCGACTGCACAACTCCAGTCTTTGTTAATTTGTAGAATTATGTTGAATTTTCTACCAAAAGGTGCCGCAGCAGGTATCATCGGGGGGACGTGCGGCTTCCTGGCGGCACTGTGGCTGGCTGCGCTGTGTTCTGTCAGAGGGTCGCTGGACAGAAAGGAGGTGGAGTACAAGAGCGTTGAGGTAGGGGGCGCTTATATTGGGGTTTATTTGGGCTTTATAATAAATGTTATCTGTTACAACGCTACTGATCTGAATGGACTAATAAATGCCAAATGCCATGTGCTTAAGTGAAAAATAAATAAAAACCAGCTGACACTTCTACATTATGTGATAATTTGCGGGGGAGATAACGACAGGAGGTGAGCAATCGCCTGTTTTGTCTTCCCCTCCATTTTGTAATGGAAAGCTAAATAAAGAAAAAAGAAATAGTAGCTTAACAATCACATGGAAAATCAAATACTAGTAGACAGACACGCAAAGGGCCATGTAGGACTCATGTAGTACGGCTAATAGAACAGTACGATAGAGATACAACGGTGTATATACACGTAACATGATATGTACGCTTGTATATGTAAATTAGGACATTGTGGAACTGGACGCCATGCTTAAAAAAGAGCTTGAAGTGGAAGACAACGAAGAGGAAAGACAGAAGACAAGACCACCAAAGGCAAAGGCAATGAAGGTAGAAAATGCATTTCTTATATACATGTATATGACAGAGAGACAGTGGGTATCATTATACTCATAAACGCTATGACACAGTCCTCAATCTTCTTCAGTTGGTATATATGGTATATTATATACTATAGCCACATTATATACGCCACCATGTCTCGCTGTCAACTGAAAGCCGCCTGTAGTTTGATTGTTAGTCGCTAGGCGGCCCTTATGAGTGTACTAGTAGATGCCAACATTATTCATTCAGCCATCCTCCACCATACAACTCACAAGTTAAACTTGTACTAGTTTTACCGATAACGTCTTTCTATGCACATTAGATTTGAGAATTAAAGGGCTCTTAATAATTATGTACTTTTAGGTGAAGCAAAACGGCAGGGTGGAGAGGTGGACGACGGTATAAAACAACCCATGACAACGACGGCGTATAATTTTCTCTACTACTACATAGACCTCGACATGTTGGCCACTAACGTATTGTAATAATGAAAGGCTAGCACGTCGACAGAACGTAACGTATTGCGCGTGTGTGAAACCCGTAGTGTATTGTGCATAGCACCTCGGCAGAACAAAATTGTTTCTCTCACACAATCAAACACACATTGGCAGCGACGGACACAGATCTGCCTTCCCTGAATTACGTGAGTTTGTCGCAATTATATTTTCTCACAACTAATATGCAAAATAAACCATGATACTGACTGTAAAGAACGCATTTTTAAAGGTCGTATTCGCGTATCGTATTCCAATTGCCATAAAGTGTGAAAAATGTCTGCTATAACGTTGTTTTCAAAGTTTGATACTATTTGTGTGCATTAGGCTAGCAAAATCTAATCTCACAGAACAGCGATATTAGTCCATCTAGTTGCTTCGTCTATAGCGTGTAGCATTGCGTTTCTAATACAAACTGCTTGTTAGAAATATACGTTATTAGAGGTAATTATGCAATGATTTCTGTGAGAAGAACAATTTCGGAACTTTTATTGCACGACAATTGTAACAGGTACAATGTATGGAAGCTTGTACATAGTCATAGATTGAAATTAAGCTATTGTTGATATGTACAAATGTTGTTGTTGTTCGTCCGTCGTAGTCGACGATGACCAATGAACATCACATCAGGTCTTGTGTGTCCGGCTGTGGCTCACAAGTCCTATACGGGCTCTGAAGGTTCTGCCACAGGTCGGGCACAGGTGGGTTTCTGGAGTCCGGGATGTGGGGGCAGCTCTGGAAGCGCGTTTCCTCACGGCTTCAGCGATCCTGGTTTTCTCGTAGAGAGTAGCACCGCTGCTGATGTGGCTGCGCCAGGCAGCACGGTTTTGGGCTGCTGATTCCCAGGTAGATGTATCTATCTTGAAACTTTTAAGAGTTGTTTTCAGTGTGTCCTTAAAGCGCTTTTTCTGTCCTCCTACTGAGCGCTTGCCTTCTACCAGTTCACTGTACAGAAGTCTCTTCGGTAGCCGTGTGTCAGGCATCCTTACCAGATGGCCTGCCCATCTGACTTGGGCTCTCCTCAGCAGTGTGTGGATGCTTGGCAGATCGGCCCGCTGGAGGATCTCTGTGTCTGGGACTTTGTCTTGCCAAGTGATCTTCATGAGTCTTTTCAGGCAGTTTATGTGAAAGCGATTGAGCTTTCTGGCATGGCGTGCGTAGATCGTCCATGTTTCGCAGGCGTACAGTAGTGATGGCAGCGCAACTGCCCTGTACACTTTTAACTTCGTGCTCAGTCTAATGCCTCTCCTCTCCCACACTGAGGCTCGCAGACGTCCGAAGGAGGAGCTTGCCAGAGCGACCCGTGCGTCAACCTCATCGTCTATGTTTACAGACCTGGAGAGTGTGCTGCCAAGGTACTTGAATTTTGCAACTGCCTTTAGTGATTCCCCGTTTACAGTAATGACAGGATCCACGTACGGCTTATGCGGTGCAGGTTGGTACAGGACCTCTGTTTTCTTAGTGCTTATCGTAAGACCAAAGTTGTCAGCAGCAGAGGAAAAACGATCCATACTCTGTTGCATCAAGTCCTCTGAGGCAGCATTTAACGCACTGTCGTCTGCAAACAGGAAGTCACGCACAGACGTCACCTTCACCTTCGTCTTGGCCTTAAGTCTCCTCAAGTTGAAGAGTCTGCCGTCAGTACGGTACCTGATTTTGATGCTTGTGGCATCATCCTCGCGGAAGGCATTAGACAACATGGCAGTGAACATCATACTGAACAGCGTCGGTGCAAGCACGCACCCTTGCTTAACTCCATTTGTAACTGCAAAGGCACTTGAGGAGTCGCCAGCATCCAGCACTCTGGCCTGCATTCCATCGTGAAATTGGCGTACCATGTTGATGAATTTGCTAGGGCAGCCAAACTTTCCCATGATTCTCCAGAGTCCGTTGCGATTAACTGTATCGAAGGCCTTTGTCAGGTCTACAAAGGTGGTGTATAAGTCCCTGTTCTGTTCCTGACACTTCTCCTGGAGCTGACGTGCTGCGAATATCATGTCAGCCGTTCCTCGACCCTCTCGGAAACCGCACTGACTCTCAGGCAGGTGTTCGTCCATGTGCTGAATGAGTCGGTTTAAGAGAACTCTGGCTAGTATTTTGCCAGCTATGACAAGTAAGGAAATCCCCCTGTGGTTGTCACAAGACTGCCTGTTGCCCTTCCTTTTGTAGAGATGAACAATTGAGGCGTCTTTGAACTCCTGGGGAATTTCTTCCTTCTCCCACAGGGACTGAAAGAACTCAGTAAGCTTCTGAGTCAGGACTGTTCCCCCAGCCTTGTAGACTTCTGCTGGTATAGCGTCAGAGCCTGGTGCTTTACCGTTTGAGAGGAGCTGGATAGCTTGCTGGACTTCCTGCTCTGTCGGGAGTTCATCCAAAGTGATGTTAACCGGAACTTGAGGCATGTCATTTATGGCTTCATCATTCATGACAGAGGGCCTGTTTAGGACGTTGCAGAAGTGCTCAGCCCACCTTTCTAGGATCTTGTCTTTGTCGGTGATCAAAGTGGTACCATCGGCACTGAGCAGTGGAGATGTGCCAGTGGATTGTGGTCCGTAGATGGCCTTTAGGGCATCATAGAAGTGCTTTGTGTTGTTACTGTCTGCAAACATCTGTATCTCGTCCGCCTTGTGACTGAGCCAAGAATCCTGCATTTCCCTCAGCTTAGCCTGCACTTTGGCTTTACTGGCATTGTACACTGCTTTCTTAGCATCCGACCTGTTTGCCTGTTGAAATGCTCTGTAAGCAGCATGTTTTTCATCTAGTAATGGGTGTATGGGGTGTCAGATAGGGACAGTACCTCTGCAGGGGGGGCTTGCCATGCCCTTTAGGCAGTAATATTCGCCCATATGTACAAATAACAATTCTAAGAAACTACTCTGAACTAACTACGGCGTTGCACATAGGGATTTTGCCTGCACCAAGGCTTATACTATTCACTGATTTTCACAGTGGCCACATAAACATATTTCCTTGGTTGTCAGACATTTCAAGATTGTCATTTTTCTGCTTTTGAGTCCTACTAGTTTGGGCAGATATGAGAAAACAGCGTGTTTAGTTGACTGTCCACCATGGTTAGATCTGGGTGAATGTAGTCTCTGCCCGGCTGACACACGCTCATGTCCCACGTGTCCAACACAACCACGTCTGGATCCGCCCGGAACATCTCTCGTATCACCTCTGTGATCTGGTAAGCCAGCCAGTCGCTTGCTAGCAGGTAGAACTCCAGCTTTCGTCTCTTGTGCTCTCGCGTCGTCCCAGTCCTCACGAAAACCCGCGTGCCGGGGCTCCTGCGCTTGAGACGGTGTATGGCGGCCCGTATGGCGTACAGTCTGGACCGGATCAGTTCTAGCGGCTCTGCCGTAAAGTGGGCCCACAGACTCACCACTATCACCGTGTCTGGTCCTCCTCGAGTAGCGTCCAGCTCATCAACAACGTAGCGGAAGTCGTAAAATATATTCCAAGCCCCTCCCTGTACGGGAAAGTGGTGAAACCGGTAGCGAACGGAAATATTCCACTGGCTGTTGTCCCCTCCTAGAAGCGCTGCAAACAAAAAATGCACCAGATCTTGTGACTCGCTGTTTGTAATGCTGCATAGCGGCTTTGGTCAAAAACATTCAGAGCATCGCTTTAATTTACATACCTTGTCTTGACGATACTTACAACAATTAAGCAGTCTCAGAGACTGGAAACATTTACAAACCTGTAGAATCCATGGTAGCCTTATCGTAGTTCAGCGGCACTATTTCCTGCAAGCGCTCGCTCCATTGTCTAACAGTGGAGTCACCTAAAAGGAATAAAAAAAATTATCTTGATTCATTTTCACTCATCCAAAAAACAATTTAGGCGAGTCCAATTTCTTGTGTTGGATATTGCTTGTTTCATAATATCTTGATTCAGTTTAAGCTATAAGAGTATATATTGGCTTGGATAGAGTAGGGAAGTGAGGTAGCTTTCCTTGTATGTACAATGGACATTGAATTACGAGTTACGGTCCTGCAAAGAGGTCTTTATCCAGTGCCAAGTGAGCATCATTTACCTATTAGACCAGGACAAGCACACTGAACAAAGGGAGCTAGCTACGATTTATCGCCACGTTCAATGGACTGTATTTGATATGTGAAGAAGTTAAATAATTTGATTATCAGACCACAAATGATACTCACCTTGCATGTACACGGTCTTGTTAGCCAGGCACCACTGGATGTCTTTTTTGCTGAACACTCGGACATTGCAGACGGATGACGTCCAGACCTTGGCTGACCAATGTCCCAAAGATGCAGTCGTGTCCCAAGTACACGCTGGAAGGCGTTGAGATGTTGGCAGTTCTGCTTCAAGGACATGTACGGGCTCCTTGGGGTCTATTTCAAGTTCCTCCTCAAGATATGGCCTGTGTGATGCGCAAATGAACTAGTATCACTATGTATCAATAAAACTGTCGTGCATTTTCTATAACCCCAGTTGTATTGAAGGTGATGCCTCATGGTCATAACATTTTATGCATACAAAAACCGAAAAAAAAACGCATGTATATTTACACTGGGAGCATCATGCCAGGTATAAATTTTTTAGAGGACAAGGGTGAGAAACATAGAATGACCAGGCTACTGATATACAGGTATACTTTAAGAGAGGTTGTAGATTTAATTTTGGAAGCTCGATGACGTACCTTTGTACGTCATCGAACATGATAATCTTGATAATTTACCTTTGGAACAGTTTCTTTTCTTCTCCAGACACAAGTCCCAATGTCGTCGCCCTGCTTTTGCCCGGGTCCCACCGGCACTTGGAGATGGTAGAACACGGAAGTTTGCCCGGTTTCTCGCAAATCCAGGTCCCGTTTACTTCAGGCTTTGAGAAGTCGCACTGTTGGTGGGATTGTAGACCGGGGTTCGCAGAGCTGAAACACTGTGCTGCAGTGGTGGCTGGCTCGTACATGTATACGAAGCTACAGGAGAAGACTCGCTTGTTTGGAACTTCCCGCACTCTCTGTAGAACCTTTACTGCCTCACTTGGATGGACGAGCTGAATCTTTATCTGATAATAGCAACACAACACAAAACAGACCAAGTCAAGGAGTTATTGGGAGGTAGAGAGTGCATTTGCTTTACTACATTTTTAACGTAGCTGTTCAGAACAGTTTTGAATGCCGTCATGTACTAGTATTCACGTACTCACCGAAACGCCCCCTGCCCAGTAGAGCGGGAACTGCACGGTGTAGGTGCCGTTACAGTGGTCAGTGACGTGACCAGCGCTACTGGCCTGCAGCGAGCGGTCACTACTGATGAGTCTGGCACGGAGAAAGTCTCCTCCGTACATCTTCGGCTTTCCTTCTTTGTCTCTTGCCACCATCCTCACGGTAAGAACATCTCCTCGGTGATACTGGTGGTCTCTTTTTAAGACGACAATGGTTGTATTGTATGGGCACGTGACATTCTCAATATAACAAGGTTCCTTTTTCAAGGCGGCATGAAGAGGAAACAGGAACAGAAATTCTGAATTCTGTGTGACAGAAAGAAGATCGAGTAAATGAAAACAAAGTTTGTTTATTGTTTTTTTAGGCTCTACGGCCCATATTTACAAACACTAAAAAATAAAAACATGTTCAGTTGGTTGTAAAACAGATTAGTATACCGAGCTGTTCTGACAAAGTGGCTGTTTTAATAGTTTATTTGTTTACATGGCATATCTCCATTAGTGAGTACATTGTGACGTAGAATTTTGTTGGCATACAGTTAACCTTCTTTATAACATCTAAGTTCCCGCCATGATGGCCTTTTGCCAATATGACTGCCCCACATTTTCTGTCACGTGAGTTCTGTGGTGGATGAAAAGTGTCTGAAAGCTAAGGCCAGACACCCTCTTGAACTTGATTATTATTAAAGGGTCATTGATAAAGGGCGATAATATATATTAAACATCACCCTTTTTTAGATTTGTATTAATTGAATTGTACGTTTAAACGGCGTTACTTGAAAATAAAAGTTGTTTTCCGAACGTGTATGGGGTTATATACCCCCCCCCCCCAATAGTCTGGTTGGCTAGATAAAAGTAGAAGAAAAACATACCGTAATGAAAATCACGACAGCGCCGATCAGCACAGTAAATACAACATACATACGGGTACTGGCCATTGCTAACAAATACACCTTGCAGAGAGCCCCAGAAATGCACACCATCCGTCCTCCTGATACGAGGAAAGAAAACAATGTATGAGATTAGTTGCTTGTTAACTACCCATACCTTCAGACACTCCACCGTGCAGTGTCCTGGCCTGGGTTAAGGAATCAAGGTACAAGGTACCCATACCGGTGATGAAAGTTATGTAAGTATTAGAAGCTACAAATGTAAGTTCTTCGCCATTAGTTCGACTAAGAGTTCTAAATAAAAAGGTTCTTTAATTTGTATCTTGCACAACTGGTAGGCGATACGGTTACTTGGTCCTGGGTTCTTAGATATTACCACGAAGGCCACCTGGTGTGCAAGAAAACCCCTCTACCTGAGTGATAATTAATTCATATCTTAGTGGTATTCTCAAAATATCCAGTAAACAATATACATTTAAGGCATAAAAGAGGGAACTGATTAATCATTGATATGCCTCCTGTCAACCTAGGTGGGATTAATAAAAGGTATCGATAGTTAAAGAACTGCACAAATCCAAAACGTGCAATTGCTATGCCAAACAATTACTCAGAGGTTTAATGATTAAACCTGCTTTGTCAAATTACAAGTTCATAGCCTATACTCTGTAACAGCAAACACGTTTGAATACAGCTTCCTTGGTATCCCTGCATCAGAAAAGCCTGTAACTGAAACGGGAAGTCGTAAAAACAGAAGTCGCGATCGACTTTTCAGTTCACAAACACTGGGAAAAACTCAAAGGTGTGTTAAGATATACCCAATATAGAAGCACAAAACGTATACAGAAGGTCGCTTAGGAAGGGAAAGCTCTGAGAATGAAATGATATCCAAGGGTTGACGGATAGAAAGTAGCTGAAGGGGCCACGAATATATAACCTTAACTGCTGGTCTGAACCCTTAGTCAAAATACAACTTAATGTCAAGTAGTATTTAAAGCCTAAAACATAGCCACAGTGAGATTTTCTCTTATGCTGAAATCGAGACGAAGGCACAGCAGTTAAGATGAAATTGTCCTTCTAAGATTTTAAAGTAATTTCCTCTGCAGTTACCTGTGTCCGTTTGTCCTTTTGCCGCGAAGCAGGCCCGTTCACATAAGTGGCATGCGCACATCTAAGGAGACCACAAATACTTCCGTTGCCGTGTGTACAGTTTAGTGCTCACCGTGATTAAGCGTCTCTATTGCAATATTGTGGGGAGACAACATACCCAGAACCCGTGCATCTGCCACTGAGTCACTCCGGAAATAAGCTGATCAAATATACTGAATACTGGAGGGCCAGCATTTGCAAGCAAATGTAATATATTTCACGTGCTATTGTGGTGGACTATTCCATGGATTGAAAATTTATTTCGTTGGAAAATGAAAAAAGTGGGTCAGTTTCCTCTTAAAGAACGCTAAAATTTGGATCATAGTCTATATTTACTCTACTCCAAAACAATGATAGCCGTTTAGTTTCTAATCATTCCAGTCCAGAGTATTTTCTACTCCAGAGTCACTATGAATAAACTCAAGAAACTAGTATCATTACCATTATCATTATTAGATTTTAACCCTATTCA